AATACAGTGCTGCTGCAGGCTGAGACTTGCTGACCACAAAGACTTTTGTCTCTTCTCCGGTCTATACTTGCACGGATGCTATCAGCTTCAATAACATTAAGTTTTTGCTTATGTTAAGGACATGATTTTGCTTTTATTCATCCAAACCTGTCTAACTCTATGTTAGCCAAAGCTAAGTGAAACCTTAAAAGCTTAGAAAACCTGGCCTTCGAATTTTGAGCCTCCCAGCAGTGTGGCTATGAGGAGAACATCAAAAAATACATATATTTTCCAAGAAGAGCAGTAAGCTTTCACATGAAAGCATTCAAGTAGATTTTCAGGATATCAAATATAAATCTGTGTATTTTGGAAATGTTTATGTTTTAGAAACTTTCTGCTTATTACTTGATACTACATTTCAATTGCTTTTTTTCAGGTTTTATAGAATAAACTCTGTTTTCATTACACTCCTGGCTTTTGCTTCACTTTTTTCTCAAATGTTCTTTTTATGGCCTAATAAATAATACAAACTATGCGTGCTTCTTGGATATATGCGTCATGTTTGAACAGAGCTCTTGCGTCTGAATGTAAATACTCCATTCACTTATTGATGTTTCTATCGATAAAGACCTCATATTGCAAAACATACCACATGATAATTAGAGGACTTTTCTCTTTTCTGATGGCCCGTTAGTCTGTTGCTTCATTGGGTGCCTCCCAGGAACTGAGTTTGGGTCTCAGCACTTTAAAAGGTACATTCAGAAGATAAACATGTGAGACAAAATAACTATACACAGTGTATAATAAACTGTCAGGTATTGGTTTATTCATTATCTGTTGTTTCGAATGAAATTTCAGTAATCATGGATAGTAACATTAGCCAGTAGGTCCTAGCCCTTGCAGTCCCAGAATATAAACTTTGTGCTTTTCAGTGACATAGATTTTAGTTCAGTGTGCTTGTTCCTCATTTACATTTCTACATTTTTATGAGTTTTAGTGCCTTCCCTGGTGTTTGATGTTGTTTGAACATCATAGTACAAAAATATTTTTTATACTATTGTTAAACTTTGGAAGACTCTGCATTTGTATGCATCAGCAGCAGTATTTCATAAATCAGTATGTATAGAAGTTAGCTGGCATTGTTTGCCAGAATATCTGTGCTGTATCACTTTTCCTCTTTTATCTTCCTTCTGTTTTTGAAAAGAGTATTTATTTTGTAATGAGCTTAGGTGGGCTAAGGTTTTATTCTACATATCTGTGATTGGTGTATATGATTTACCATTATGATGCAGATTAAAATTAAGCAAAAGACCTTGAGGCTGATACTCCACTGTAGGCTCTCAGTGGAAGAATGTCTTTGTTACCTAAACCCCCAAACTCCCACAGCTCAGCACTGCCTCAGTAAAACTCCAGGAACTGTTATTCCAGAATTATTTTCTAGGCTTCTTGTTTCCTTCCTTACAGTGTATAGTCAAACAGTGACAATTCTCTTTGAAATCTTCAGATTTTTTTTCTCAAAACCTAATGTTTTTAATTGTCTTTACAACTATTATAGCTCTAAAATATATCCTAAGATGTGTCCTGATGGAAAGAATAAATATATATGGTTTGCTGAGAGATCAACCTCATTTTGTACTGGGAAAAAAGTATGTGTGCTAGAGCAGACCCCAACATAAGATTAATTCACAGACAGACTCAAACTCTGCCATGCTTATGGTAGAAAGCATGTGTGTTTCAAGAGATGAGAACTAAGAAAAAAACCTTGCAGAACAGATCTGCAGCCTTCATCCCCTCCATTTTACTTGGTTTTTCATCTAAATAATCCAACTGTCTCAATAAATATTTTACATTGAACCTTCACTGCGTAGATACACCACATGAAATTAAGTTTTTTAAAGGAACATTAATCTAATTACTTTTTTCCCCATAGGTTTTACATTATTAAAAGTTTACAGTATGTACCACAACCTATTAGACTGCATGTTTAAACAAGTGAGAATATAAAATAAAAATGTGTACAAAGTAACCAGAAAACACTAACATTTATATTTACCTATGTTTTAATTGTACAACTTAAAAGTGCTATTATAACACATTATTATGCATTTAATTTTCTAGTTTGATTAGAAACAATCGCATGTTCTTATTCACAGTTTAAGTCACTCCAACTGGCTGTAGAAATCTCTCACTTCAGTGAAGCAAATGGGATGTGGTCGACTTGATCTGTGATCTTTATTGCTCATTTCCCTTTGACCGATGAGATTTCTACAAGCCTGGGTTAACAAGGCTCAGAGATATTAGTTTACAGAGCAGGGCCATATCATTTCTGAAATTATTCTTTTAGAACTGAAAGCTTGTTGATATTGCACAGTGTTGCCATTATTGAAACAGTCTCTACAATTGTGAGGTTTCAATTATTACCCTTTATTCAAAATATCTGAGAAGCAAATTAGTGGGTGCTCTTCAGAAAGGATTTTAGATATCATTTAGCTTTCCTAAAACTGAGGCAGATTCCAACTTCTATTTACACAAAAGTCTTTTTTTCTGTCACATATAACTTTCTGTTTCAGTTATCCCAGCAGCCAAGGCAGGATGGAGAGGAGATATAATCTTGCCAAATTTCTTTTGGCTGTTTTAAATGTAATTTTGTTCAAAATATGTTTGGAATTGCATTAGAAGTTTCTTTTAAAAAGCATAATGTCATCTGCACTAATACAATTTAAGAAGTGTTGAAATTACTGCATAGCAATCACTCTCAGCAGTTGGTGAAAAAAAAATAACCTTTTGAGGTTTCTTCCTCTTCATTCTTTCTATTTGCAGTTGCACTGGTTCAAACCTTTTACTGACTCAGCTGACATCCCAGTATTTTGAATGACTTTGTAGAATGTGGTCCACTTTTAGAAGAGTGTGAATAGCTTCAGAATTTGACCTGTTTTGTGCATAGGGGAAAGCATCACTCTCAAAGCACTGCTACCTTAGGGAGGCAGCTTGGCAGAAGTTATAATGGCCAATGATGCTACAAAATTTACAATGGAAAATGAAGAATATTATACATGATGGAAACAGGAGGGTTATTTAGATAGGCATAATATACTGTAGTTACTGAAGTATAAATGACTATCAAAGAAAAGGCCAGATTTTTCTCAAGCTGTGTCTGCTATATACCATACGCTGTATTTAAAGGAGGTAGAATTGTGGTAAACAATCATAGGCAGCTCACTGCAGAAGATTGGGATGTAGAGGAGATACGGAAGCAGTGAAATGAGTACATAGGCTTTCTGATTACAGACTAGGGGATGTGGCAACTAGGAAGGAAGTTGCCCCACACTACTGTAGTTACTAGTGCTATTTTAGTCGCTTGGGAATATTGGTAGCAGAAACTAAAAGCAGCCTTAACCCATGCAAACTAACCCTGCTTCAGTCATCATTTGTTCTTATCCCGAGTACATTTGCTTTTCACTGAATTAATAATCAAGATCTGGAAACAAACAACCATTTTTTAGAAAATCATGGAATCATAGAATCACCAAGGTTGGAAAAGACCTCCAAGGTCATCTAATCCAGCCCATGTTGGTCCTGGCTGGAAGGTGACAGTGCATTTGTAAGCACAAGTCTAGTCCTAGAATGGATGATGAGTTTCCTCCTGTCTCAGAGAGCAGAACTATAATGGTATGATCCATTCCCAGCAACTGTATCTTATAATTCTTTTTCAGAAACTGCATAAGTTCTATCTAAAACAAGGTATAAAAAAAGTCCTCCTCACAACTCAGGCTGAAAACTATCTGAATTTAGCTTGCATATATTTAGGGCAGTTTTTAAAGCAAGAATTTGTTACTATTTAGTATAACCTATTCTGTGACTTTAACTGCTGAAGAAAGTCTGGTGAGATCTTACCCTGGAGTCACAATAATAGTTTCCCTCTTTCTGGTTTCATTTGGTCTCCCAGGGAGAAGTAATAGTCTCTCTTGTGACAGTCAGAGAAGGAGATGTTCACCTTAAGGACATGCAATGAAAATAAATCAGAAACACATTTCCTTGCACATAGCCCAGCTCTTTGCATTGCAGTTGCCATTAGAATGTTAGAGAGGATGGAGAACGTCTGTTAGCAAGTCTAGGGCCACCAGGACCATCACTTGAGCTTATACTTGAGTCTTGAGATTCGTTTCAGTAGAAGGTGCAGGAAATATAGATTTAATTCTTTTATTCAAACTCAGTAGATGGTTTGGGACAATTAATTTCCAATTGTTTCCCAGTAGAACAGATTTACTTGTATATTAATGAGGCACAGGTGTTAGGCCCCTGGTGCCTGCATGCCTGGGAGGCATATTTAGGTTGTTTATCTAGTCAGCCATAGGTACTGCAAGGTACTCAAGCTTGCCTTTAACAGTTTATACAGTGAAGCTTTTTAATTTTTTGATGTTTTTTTAAATTTGCTAGCACCTGTTAAAATTTTAAAACTGATCATGTAGAAAGAAGTAGGAGTGATTTCAATAGTAAATAGCACTAAATGTTAAAGAAAGTCATCTTCTATTATGCTTAACTGCCCAGCTTGACATTAAGAAGAAAAGAAGGTTCATTTAAGCAAATATGTCATGTGAGAAGCTAATACAGTCAACAGTATACTTTTCTATTGCATATTTTTGGAATAGGTACTTCTTTGTCTAGAGCTGAAACATGAATGTGCTTATATTAATATTCATTTTTCTTGTTTATTCACTGAACTGCAGTACCAACATTTTAGAGGAAATGGAATAGCCTCCATAGACATTATGAATTTCAGTAGCTGGCATAATTATAGCGATCTACATATTCATTAAATCCAAAGAAGAAATGTGTCCAAAAAGACAGCCATGCGTTTAGAAATGGTACACAACTAAATATATACATTTTAAAAGAGTTGCTTTCCTCTCCTTATCCAAAATTGTGTAGTGTCATATCGTCCTTAAATCAGCTGTGGCTTTTTTTTTTTTCTTTTTTTCTTTTTTTGCATAAATGTTCATTCCTTTTGCTTTTTAACACAGTAAAGAATGGGAAGAACTATTTGTAAACAACAATTACTTGGCAACTATACGGCTGAAGGGGATTAATGGGCAGCTGAGAAGCAGCAGGTTCCGTAGTGTTTGCTGGAAGGTAAGAAGAGAAAATATTTATTTACAGTTTGTGGTTGCAATATATCAACACATTACCTGATGCGCTGGAAGATTATTGATGCAAAGAATCATGAATTTTCCAGCAGACTTCATCCCAGTATTTTCCTCCTCGTTTTTGTAATTCATAGGACATTTGCTAATCATATTGAGTTGCCTTAAAGCTGAATTGTGAGTGATAGCAAATGATTCCTTGGAAAGACTATCTTTGTGTTGGGTGTTACGTTTCAAATTGAGTATAATACAGCCATTTCTCCTGTCAGCATCTGCACATTTAAACTATGCAATGGAAGTTTATCTGAATTCATGTTTCATGGTATGGAAATTTGAACTCCTTTAAAATCACTTGGATGCTTCTCCTAAAACTTCTTCCCAGAGAAATGAGAAAATGAGGACCAACCCCTCCTGTAATGACTGGAGAGAGAAGGCAGAAACACAGAAGATCCTTAGAGGTTCCTCACTACATTTTTCAATAGTTGCTGGGAAAGGCAGGGTGAAAAAGTACAGTTGCACTGAGGTGCTATATAATGTCCAGAAGAGCTGTGTTGCACTGGCATCAGATGTAGCTTTGATAACAGAAAACGTTTTTCGTAGTAGAGTTGCTCTGTGTTAACATCAATAATTTAAAAATGGCCTCACTTGGAATTTCTCAATCTTGACTTTTGAAAAGAAAATTGAAATACACTTTGTCTATTAAATAAACAAATTTCAAAAGCTTCACGTATGTGGCATTGAACAAATTTAAAGATAATGAAAATGTTTTCTTCAGGACAGATAAATATTTGCCACAAGCATTTTTGTAATTAGTCTGTTCCTTCGTGTACCTCTAAATTAAAAGGCCTTAACTCAGAAACCTGAACAGGTCTCTCAATATTCACTGATTAAATCAGGGATTGGTTTTCTGCTAGAAATTAGACTGGTTTTATGTGCGTGTCCTGATATGGGTTAGGACTTTCTTTTAAATTATTTATTTTGAAGATACCATCAATGCTTTCATTAACTTCTGAAATACATATTTTTAGCAATTTGAGAATGGGGTTTTTTTTTGGTCAATATTTGCTGCTTCATAACCCTTTATAATATGTACATGAAAGCATATTTTAAAAATGAAGAAAACACTTATTTTGCTTTATTTTATATGCAATTAAATAGCATTTTCCAATAGATGTTTCTTTCTAGCCCCATTTAAACAGAAATCTGAAAGAACTGAGATGTAGATATTCTCAAGGATTTTTTGCACAATTAAATCTTTTAAGTTTCTCACAGAATTGTAGAATGTATTTCTTTTATATAGACTAAGATTTCCCCTTTCCTCGTTTCTCAGGCAGAGTCTACCCCTGAGAAGTTAGTTTCTGCTCAGCACTCATGCTTGGTTTTAGGCATGTTACATCAACTCCCCAATGTTATATAAATAGCTCCAAGATTTATATATTCATTTTTATCCCTTCTTTGCATTTTGTTTCTGCCTTGGAAGTCATAGTCAACTCTACTGGAGCTGCTACAGCTTACAAACTTAGTTTGTGGTATCAACAGTGTCTAATAATTTCTGTTGTATAATAGAACTGTAATTGTTTCTAACTTCTTTGTTTATTGACTGGAAAGTCCTAAAGTCAGTATTATTCTATAGGTCTTTACTTCCTTCTCCCTAATTATAGAATATTTGTCCTTCCTTCCTTCTTCAGATTATGCTATATGGTAGGATTTATATGCAAAGCTTTATTACACTGATTAAATTAATTGGTTTTACTTTGTTTTGTTAATAGTTGTTTCTGGAGGTTCTACCCCAAGACAGAAGTCAATGGATTAAAAACACTTCAGAATTAAGAACTTCATATAATAAGATAAAAGAAATCGTAAGTTGTTATAAAATAGATTCTCATGATTTCATGTAGGTACAAATGCTTGTAGTATAGCTTAGGAGGATTTAATTTTTTTCTGTTCTTATCCAGCACATTACAAACCCTCGAAAAGCAGGACAGCAAGATCTGATAATCAACAATCCGCTCTCTCAGGATGAGGGGGTAAGTTAACCCTTTGTTCTATTGATGTATTTGCTACAGTTATCATCATCATCATATTGACATCTCTAATAAGAAAGCAGAAAGTATTTTCAAGGTTGTGACACTTCACTAAGAGTTTAATTTTAGGCAACTTTATTTTTATACATTGCTTTTTTACTCCATTTTATTAGATGTGAAAAGATATTCAGTATGTTATACCTCCTATCTTCAAATGTGTCTGCTAATGGCACTTTTTTAGCTTCTT